ACAAAATAAAAAAATAATAAAGCACTGAAACATAAAATAAAAAATATATAAAAACAGTGGAGTAATAAAATACTACCCCAGTCAAGTAACAAAATAATAAAATACTAAAGTAGTAAAATAATAAAATAATGAGGTACTAATGTGACAAAATAAAAAAATAATAAAGTAGTAAGTTACAAAATAAAAAAATTAAAATACTAAGATATAAAATGAAAAAATAATAAAGTACTAAATTACAAAATAAAAAAATAATAAAGCACTGAAACATAAAATAAAAAAATATATAAAAACAGTGAAGTAATAAAATACTACCCCAGTCAAGTAACAAAATAATAAAATACTGAACCAGTAAAGTAATAAAATAATGAAGTACTAACGTGGCAAAATAAAAAAATAATAAAGTACTAAATTTCAAAATGAAAAAATAATAAAATACTAAAACATAAAATAGTAAAGTAGAAATAAAGAAAGAGAAAATAGTAGGATAATACGAAAGGGTTAGAAATAAAAAGCGAAGGAGAAATAGTTGGAACAACGTCGGAGTGAAAAGCGAATGGAAATAGGATGAAGGGTCGAAAAAAGGGAGGCATTGTAGATTGGATGGTGACAAGATGCGGTAAAATTGCAACTGTCGGATCTCACGTTCCACGGCCTCACGTGCCACCTACAGACACACGCTATACCGTCAGATTTTGCGAGCTTGCGAATGAGCTTTTCCACGTAGTGTATCGATCGATCGATGGACTCGGCTGCGGGACGAGAATGTGCTCGTACTTTGACACGCAACCTCGACGATTGATGGAACGATGCCGTTTAACGTAATGTCGTTTTATTCGAGCTTTATTGGTTTTCCAAGCTCGCGCCGAGAAACAAACGCACCCTCCAAGGTTGATGCGGCAAAGTGAATGAAAGCGTCACGACGCTGGTCTCGCCGTTGCTTTCGAGGGGACGAACGCTTTCTTTCGCTAAAATATCGAGGGACCTCCCTTTTATCGGATTTACTTTCTCCCTCGACGCGTTATAATCAAACCATACTGCAAAGTAATATTTTCTGTCACTTCGTTTTCATATTTCATATTTTCGCTCTCAGGGAAAACTTTCTGAAATGTAAGTTCATTCGATATCAAAATAACTGTCGGAGGAAGTTGAAGTTCGTGTCAGGGATGATTAACCCCGTTGTTCAAACATCATTTTTCACTGAGTTTTCAATGTAACTTTAATTATAATTTGCATGTTCATACGAGATAAACATATTTTTGTTTTATACGTTTTAGCAAGTTAGATATGATGGTCGTTGATGGATGTTGCAAAATTCAGTTAAATTATTTGCGGTAAACGAGAGGAACTTCTGAGGGCTCTTAATGTGGAGAGAACGACGCAACAGATTAACCCTTGTCACACTTCGACAAGTCTGGCACGTCACGCACTTCACCTGTAATTAACCTTACTGGAATTTTTAATACGCTTTGCAGTTCAAGACTGAAGTTCATCTGAATGCAAAAGTGACATCAAATTTCAAATTTCTTTACCTATTTTAATATTATAGCTGTGGTTAGTTG